CAAATATATACATCTACCCAGAAAAATAGTAGCGGAAAAAAGTGTTTGTTTAATTCAGGTAGTTGAAAAAATTCTTTTATAATATGATACTATATAGAACTGTCAAAACTATTTATAGGTAAAAAAAAAAAAACAACTATTCAGAAACCTGTCTATGAGAAACAAGTATGTTCTCCTGTTCTTTCATCTCAAAAACGTTTATTTAATTCAGGTAACATACAATTTTGAGTAGTTATTTATGATGTTACAGTTATTTAATTTCAATATTTAACTATTGTAGAATCAATGATGAGAAAAACACCATCCAATCAAAAATGTCTTGGCACTTTCAATGAATTAATTTCACCATTACCCAGTACCTCGAGTGATTCAAGTAATATATTTTTAATTTATCCAAGTTATATTTAAGGATTATAAGTAAAATAATTTATGTGATTTGATTAGGATATCAAAACTTGGAACTCAACGATCCACAGCAGCTGTCTTCATTATCACCAAATTTATTTGAAGATATTGATCTCGATATCAATCAGTTACCGTTTGAAATTGAGTCAGGTATTTTAATCATTTTAAATTTTAATTGATAATTTTGAAAAAGCTTGTAATTTATGTTATCATCATTTTATAAGGTACTGAAAACAATGATGACACATCAAATTTAATGTCAGTGGCAGAAGTCAACGATTCCCAAAATAATTTTATTAATGATAATGGTAAATATCCCTAATTACATTTTAATAGTCAGGTATCAAAAACAACTATTTTTTATTTCAGGACCATTTAACAGTCACGAAACACAGATATGGTTAATTAAATCTATCGCTCAACTTAAAAGTGACGTTTCAATCATAAAAAAATCTGTAAATGCTAACAATCAACTTCTAAAACAACTTCTGTTTGACAATCATCCAGAAAATGATTTAGAACTTGATAAATTAATTTTACAGTTCCCTATTGGAAATGAAACTGTTTTATTTGAGATGGAAGAAAAACTGACCACTGACCATATTGCAAATAAATATTTGGTAATTAATATATTGCTTTTATTTATATTTAATTCCCAATAACTATAATAAATGTATATGTATTAATTTCATAGATTAAAAAAATGTCAAAACTAATATCAAGTGACTACAAACAGAGTAGTTTTAGTCTAATGAGATTTTTAATAACCAATGAACTGGCAACAAAAATGACCTTTTTTGGAAAAACATCCAAACTAGCGTTTGGATCATTAAAATTATATGCAATTTTAGAAAGTTGGTTCACATTTGTAATTTAATATTTTTGTTGTCCAATAATATTTTATTTTTAGAAGTCATGTTGAAGAATAATCCTGAACTTACAGTAAAAAAATTGCAAGAGCCAATTCAAAGTTGGTTACGCCATGCAAATGAAAGATTCACCAAACAAAATTGCCATGTAGATAATGTAAGTTAAATAATTATAAAAGTTTGTATGATCATTAATTTTTGTTGAAATTTCAATTAATATTATTAATCCTTTTTCTAGGAACAAAATTAAAAGCTGTCATGTGTTAATTACTGTGTATGTATGTTACCTAATTTTAAAATTTTTATTTACCATATCTGACTTAATTTAAATTGAATTATTTTTTTTTTATTTATGAATTTTTTTGTATACTTTTCTACTAATCATGTGACTATTATTTTATTTTATAGCTATTACTATCATACCAACATTTTTAATTAAATATTTTTTTTTGTCTTCAATAACCATAATACCCAAAAAGATTTTTTTTTT